GGGGGGGGGGGGACACAAAGTACAAAAATACTACGGACCCTACTGAAGGCGGGATCACTCCCACTGTTAATGTTACGTACATAATAATCAATATACATCATAATAAAATCTCAGGCCCCATCCACACTACACCGGAGAAATTCGAAAACGGACGAGGTTTCACTCTGAAAACGTATCAAATGTTTTCCTTCCACACTACGCCGGAGAATTTGAAAACGCAACAATTACCGGTCATTTTGGATTTGGATTTGAAGAAAGCTCGAGCAGAGGCTGAGTATCATGATTGTCCCAACGTCATCGTTTTCGCAAAGCCAGCGTTTTCAAACTCCTCCGGTTTGAAGAGCGTTTGCGAAAATTGAAAAGCTCCGTTTTCGTGACGGATTACTGTGGACGGTAGGCCTAACCGTAGAAATAAAGCTGCGTTTTGAAATTTCTCCGGCTCATGTGGACGCTGCCTAACACGAACAGATATGTAGAAAAATCACTAAGCAAAACTCATTTTAAAATTATATGAGCTTAAGGCATTTTTTCCTTTTACTTTTGAAGATGAAGGCACTGTTGATTTTAAAGAGTTCGTCAACGTGATGGAGAATTACAGAAGTCTGCGGCAAGACGATGAAGCCGCCATGTATTTTAAAGTATTCGATTCTGAGCACCGAGGCTATATTGAAGGGAAAGCTATCAAGCGATCCTTGCAGTTTTTGGATGATGTACCCAACAGCGAGATTGAGGAAATCGTGACGAAGATGAATCTTACGGATGATAAAAAAATCACTATCGAAGGTAACTATCTCCTATCTCCTTCCATAGATGAAGCTATGGTCGATCCCCTCCCCCTCAGGGGTGCACTCCCATATGCTGGAAAAGAACAGGGGTGCTCGTCATAACTTTTATGGGCTTTAAGCCGCTGTTTTAATATCTTTTAGGGTCCACAGGGGTCCACAGCCTTTTAGGGTATTGAGCGGAAAAAAAGTCAGTTTTTAGGTGTAACTTTTGCAGTAGCTTTGTTTCATTTCACAGACTAACGGTAACGAAGCTCTCCTGTAATCTTATTTGCAGAGTTTGCAGCCAACTTCCTTACACCGCTTATCTTGAAAGACTCGGAGGAAATGCTCTGATGCGCCTTGGTCGAAGGAAAAGAACATCTAAATGTTATTGAGCGTTAAAATAACTAAGGTTGAATTCAGGGTCCTTCCAGCATTTGATAGATCATGATTGCTAGTTAAGGCTGCTTTGTATCTTACTATCATTAACCTAACAAATGCTATTTGGATTCCGCGCAGGCGTGGCATGGCTCGTTCCCAGGGAGTCTCATTCTCCCGCCCTTCCTCTCGCTGCGATAGAGCGGGAAGATAAGAGAACCTGGGAACGAAGTTGGGACTGGCTAAAATGGTGTCTCTTCACAGGGTATAGTGAGCAAGGAAAACATTGCAAAAGATGTAATTTCACTTGTTTTGAGGGTTGGCAAAGAAAACCATGTTTTTTAGCTTTTATCTCTTTTAAACAGCAAAGGCAGCAGGCATTATACTCTCATAAAATACTTCAGTTATTTGCTAACACTATAAATAAAACACTCGCCCGCGACCGTTCCTTTCTAAAATTCTCTCGTTTTCTCAAATTCATGTCATGTTTAATGATGGTATCATTTTGCATATGGTTTTTGACTTGGGTATAGGTAAAGCTTGCATGCCAGCCAAGTGGCCCATCAGGCCGGAGCTTATCCCGGTTTCTGTAGCATGAATTGACTAGGAGTATTTTTGCTCCACCCTGGATGGGATGCTAATACATCGCTGGGTTACCCCCAGCATTAAATTCGCTGGTACCCATTTATACACCTGGGTAGAAAGAGCTACTGTGAGAGTAAAGTGACAGCACAATGTCCCCGGCCAGGGCTCGAACCCGGACTGCTCGATCCGGAGTCGAGCGGACTAACCATGAGGTTTCTTTGGCTTAGAGTAGTTTACAATTAACCAAAGTAGTCATTCTGGACATCACAGAGGACACAGAAAATCCTGTGAACCAATGAAACAGTTACATGTAGCTGACGCAAAGCGCGGGAAAACGCGTGCGAGCGAGTCAATATTGGTTTTGGTTTCACTTCGATCAGATTTGATGAAACAGTGGTGCGAGTTTTTGGGGGCTAATCGTATGGCGTAGTAATGCAAAACAAAGTGACAACCGCTCTTTTTGTTAATTATAGAGTATGGTCTCTCTGAAGAGACCGTTGTTAAAACTTTTCTATGTTCAATTTGTTAGACCATTTTTGTAAACTTACATTTTAGGTGTACTCAATAAATCTATTTCTCTACCTTTGTTATAAAAAAAATAACAGATTTAAGAAGATTACCAGAAATAACACACCCGAACTTAAAATATTGTAAATAAAGTTCTGTTTGTTGTGTTTACACTCCTCAGGAATCTATATCTCTGTCAATCACGATGTTTTGTGAACATCGTGGTACAATTATATACTGCTGAGTTATTGACCAAGCGTAAGGTCAATATGGTTGGATATTGGCTAAGTCGACGAGGTCCACAAACTCGCTTAAAATTAAAGGAACTAGGCCAATATCCAGTCATCTTGATTGAGCCACACGGCAGGATTTGGTTCATCTTGCCCGCTTGTAAAGTTACGACAGTCCATATAACATAATCAAAGCATTGTCCCGCATTCTTTGGAATTTTCCTGATTTTCCTCTAATAATCGAAACAAAAATATATGAAATACAATGATTACCTATAAGGTAAAAATCTTCAAAGAGGAAACAGTAATTATAATCTAAAGGAACAAGGACGCCAAGATTCGAGAAGATTGGCACGGATTACAAACCATATTTGGTCAAAATTCAGGCCAAATTTCTCAAAATGTCCCAGCAGTGACGCAACTTCTTTAATGCATCAGAAACGCGGGGGGTGGTGGACGGGAATACGACTGTTATCAATCCAGAATCGACCCCCTGCCATGTGATATCCTCCCGTTATAATTAAGTTATCTCGAGCATGAACACGCCATTAAACGAATAGTGTTCCTTAAGGGTTTATCATTGTTCTAGTTTCATCTTACTCTGATTGGTAACGATACCAAAAGCACTACTAAAATTTCTTACGTCTGAGATAAGTATCATTTTGGGATTCAGTTCTGCAGCTTAAATATTGTTGAGGATTAATTTTGAGATTTGCTCAGCTTCTTTGAACAATGTCAGATTAATTTAAAACTTAATACTAGCGGTGGATTAGACTCTATGAAATGACAGAAATAAAGACCTTACACGACTTTTAATCCTAGATAAACCTTATCGGCTTTCGAACAATCGTAGTGTGAGCGAAATTATTTGGTTTTGCAACCATACTTCATAATAATGTCGGCTAACTGAATTTCTAGACAATTTTGTCTGATATTTATCGAGTACTTACTGAGGTTAAAACATGATCGCTTGATTATCAAGAATTGGCGAACAAGGGAAATACAATGATTTATTTCAAGGGAACATGAGATATTGTTTGGATTAATTTGAGCGAACGAGGGATATCTCTTACAGTATGGAATTTGTTAGAGCGGAACAAGAGAAAAACATTAGAACTTTTCAGGAATGAAGGGAGCATGTATCCCCTTTGGCAGGTCCCCACCTTTGCTATGATGTAGTGGTTCGCATATTCGATTAGATTTTATTTACCGTAACTTCACGGACTGCGTAATTGTAATCACTTTTCTTGTTTTATCCGAGAAGATCCATTTTTTTTAACGGGACGACTTTGGTATTTTTGTGGCCATTTGAAATGAAGTGCGCGAAGAACAAACATTTGTTGGAAAACGCACAAAACGCATTTCGCGTAAGATGATGTTCTTCTGCATTTGTAAAAATAGCTGGAAAAGGTTTGCATCGGGCCAAGTGGTCCAAACCGCTAGAGCTTATACCAGTTTCTGTAGCATGAAGCGACTAGGAGTATTTCTACTCCTCGATCCCTGGATGGGATGCGATGAACTAGCATCCCATCCAGGGGGGAGTAGAAATACTCCTAGTCGCTTCATGCTACAGAAACCGGGATAAGCTCCGGCCTGGTGGGCCACTTGGCTCGTATGCAGACATTACCTTTTACCTACCCTGCCTGGATGGGACGCTTGTCCATCGCAGGGTTACTCCTCCGCATTAAAATCTCCAGTACCCATTTATACACCTAGGTGGAGAAAGGCACGATGAGAATAAAGTGTCTTGCCCAAAAACACAACACAATGTCCCTAACCAGATCTCAAACCCAGGCCTCTCGATCCGGAAGTAGAACCAAGTATATTTTACCAATCGTAAAGCCGCAGCCCGGGGGGAGGCTCCACCAGAGAAGGGTTCCTTTTTTTCAATTATAGATATATGAAAGGGGCACCTTTCCTGTCAAAATGGTATACATGTACAAAAGGGTAAGGAGTTGGACCTCAAGGCGGAGCATTCCCGTATAAAACTTTGTAGAGTTCCCCCCCCCCCGGAAGCCTTGGCTTCTCCCAGAAACCCCTGTTAGTGTCAATGATTTTATGTTTATCTCCATAACATACAAAACGTCACTTTTCCTTGCAGAAGCTACAAAATATAACGTGTTACCTTTAATAGCGCGGTACGGTGACCACTACGACCACAATTAAAAACCACGATATTTTTCGCTGATGTCATCAGCACCTGTGTAGGTGAGCAAACCGACGAGTCCTTTTAATGACAAAAAGAAAATGAACATATATCCTTTTAGGAACTAGATATCAGACGCAAAAATTTTATTTGGGTGACTTTAAGTATATAGAATAATTATTTAATGGAGAATAAGTCTACAAGCCTACTTCTACCGCTTTATATTAATTGCACAATACATTTTTGTACAGCGCTCCGTTGGCAAATAATTTTTTGTCCGTGCAAGAAAGATTTAAGCGTCCCATTGCGCTTAGTGTGAATTCCACTAACGAGGAATCTCATTTTTCATGATTTGTTGGTGCAAAACGCATGCATTTGCCAAACGTTCTACAGGCACTTCCTGAAAAAAAAAATACATATAGAAAGTTTCAGTGAAAAAATGCGACGCAAGGCGATATGTGCAACTTTCTGAACTTATTTACCGGGCAATACGGCTTAAGAGGTGTAAAGTTATTTCATGGTATTTATTAGGATATTTTTGTGCAAAAATTTACCCAATTAAAAATATTGGATTATATTAATTTTAGGAGTTGGTCCTATGGCAAAACCTAACCCACAACTTGCTGTGTCACACAAGATATGTGTTTTATTTTTTCTGATGTGACAGATAACTATAAAATAAGCAGTTATTTCCTCTGGCGGCAAGCACTTAAGGGCCTTCTAACCTTAGACGATAAATATTTTATTACGTTGAATTGGATCAAGGAGAGGTCCTTATGAAATGCGGATATTTAATAACCTTGGTTAAAGAACTTATGTAAATTTTGATTATCTCCTTTCTTCATTGCTTCCCTGTTAATTTATTTGTCAAATTATTTAACTGATGCGAAATGAACCTAATAGTTTACGTTTTATCTGTATTCATTTAGTATTCGCTCGAAATGAACGCCATATTCCCTGAATAGAAGTTATGATGGTATTTTAGCCATAAGCCGCGATTTCGCTGATAAAGCCGACGACAAAGCCATGATCATAAGTTAAAATTGAGATGCATCATTTAAGAGAGTTATTTTGCTAAGGAAGTTGCGTGGTTAGCTCCGATATTGCACAGCAAAAGGTAAGACAAGTCTCTTGATATTTGAAGCTTTGTAAATACAGAATTTACAACCGATACGATCAAGTAAAGTCGAACCTACTAACAATTCTGTTTACGAACGAAGTCGAGGCAAAAAAAGATGCCTTAAACTTATAATCTAGCGTTAAATTTTTAAGCATTACGAAGCTCGCTAGTTGTAGTAACATTATAATATAATGTAATCTTCAGAAAAAAATCGCAAAAAATTTCGTTTACTTAACATTGTAAATTGTAGCATGCGAAACGAATTTCTTTGGTAAAAATATCAGTAGAATCGTTGTTTAAAATTTTGCTAGCGAAACTATTATATATTTTGCCATGTGTTGGAGCTTATACATGCCGAAATCGTTTTTGTATCGCTTTTCGTAAGACCACAAATAATGCATGATATAAAATTAGAGCCGGTGTTTAAAAGTATAGAAGTGCAAAGTTTGGAATTTATTACATCTTCTAAACGTCACTTTCAGCGAGCAGGAAGTTTTCTATGTTTTGCTCTTGTTCTCGACCGAATAAAAGCCGTTGTAGATAAAGTTCAACTTCCTGTAGACAAATTGGAGACACAGCATTTAAGAAAAATTCCACACAGCCCTTCCCAAATATTTTATTATCACAACTAACGAAGCAGTATTTTCAATTACCCAATCAAATTGCGGAAGACGCCACTGGGCAAAGTAGTCTAAATAAACGTTATGGAACAGTTATTAAGATAAAATCGCTTTGATTGCTAAATAATGAGGCCAAATTTGAACAGGCAGGTATTATCTATGGCGTAGACTGTGCATGTCTATTTAAGGCCAAAACATTTGATTCAAAGAAAAACAGAATTACATTTTATAC